TTTTTTTTTCAAATACCGAAGTCAATTTCCAAGGCCACAGACATGTTCGAACTACCAACTCCGGTCTCGTAGATTCCACTTCCTGGACTCCTTTCTCCGGATTGCGGGAGGGGATAGTTGGCGCTCCCGATGATGTTACAATTTCCAACCTTGATCCAGTCTCTTGATACATCCGGATTTTTACAGAGTATGTAACTTCTAGATCCATCAGTCAGATCTTGGTCCATTCGGAGTTGGACAACGTCAAGTCCGGATGGAGCACCTTGGAGACGTTGATGGAATTATCATTTTTCGGACTCCAGTTTTTCGCTTGTCAGGGTAGATCTTCTGTTTCGATCGTTTAACGGAGATTCCGAAGGCAGAACGAGCATCGAGATAACGTACTACTCCGTATATCCGTCTGGTCTCGTCTCTGTCGGCCTACCTCAATTTTATCACGTCTGACTCGGAGCGCAAATCCATACGAGGGACTCGGTTTCAGCCAGGTTTGTACGTGGAAGATTTCGGTGAAAAGATCGTGGCAAATCCTGGAGAAATAATAATGACTCTGTGCTGTGTACGGATGGAGTGATTCAGTCAATAGTCGCTTCTTCAGCCTTCATGCAACCGTTAGTTCGCTCATTAATGCTCATTGAGATACGAATAGGAATTATTGAAATCCCACATTAGTGAGTTACCTCGGCCAATAAGGTAATACGGCATGATTTCCTCTTCAGCTTGAGTCTCGTTCATCCTCTCATTATCCTGGTCCTTCATGGAGCTGTTTTATTTTATGCTTTCCCTGGGGTAATCACCATGGAAGATGCCTGTTATAGGATCGCCTCCGGGGGGGAAAGTGTGTTTGGGTAAGAGGGCGGCCTTTTCATATTCGACTTTCGCCTCCTATTGGCTTTTCGCGTCCCTCTCTCCAAACCATCAGATCTATACTTAGCTGATCTGTTAATTTCACTCTAAATGGCCATTGGTGAGATAGGGCCGGTGCTGAAGGGCCGTCATTCCGTGAAACTTTCTTCAGGGCTATATTTATAAAACCCTTATATAATAGCCATTCCAGTAGCCTTCTGAAAGAACTTGCTCCGCCTTGGAAACTGTTTTGGAGACCCTCCCCGAGCACGGCGTATAAAATGGTGATGAATACCGGCATTACCCTTTCATTATTCGGACTTCCCATCAGGCTTCCCTGGTGATGACGATGATATGATAGCGTTCCATCGCTGGAGCGAATCTGCCCATTTCACGTGTTATGGATACTCAAGACTTCAGCGCCTCCCTTCATCTCACGCTGTTCTCTGCCAGTTCCATCTTTAGTTGATGTCATTTCTTACTCCATGCTCGGCCCCTCCGGTCAAGAGTATGGATCGTTCAAATTTCCCTTGTTATAATCTGGTAAGAAACTTTAGTATCTTCAATATCTTCGGGTATGCGGAGATCAGATGAAAATACACGGGCCGGCCCAACTAGTTCCTTACCTGTAACCATTACACTGGTGAGGATCAAGATGTGCAGATATATATTTCTCGGCAAACGTCTTGGAACATCTCCTCTATTTCTCCATTCATACGCTGTAGGTGTAATTATATCAGTCAGAATAGTGTCAGCACGGAACAACCGGTGATAGACCACTCATTTCCTTATCGGGCGTTCCCCTTCGTCGTAAATGCGCTGTTTTGCTTCTTCACGGCTGGAGTAACTCACCCTTGTTCGTCCATTCCTTTTGATTTCAGCACATGGGCCTCCGTAACTCAGGCCATCAGTGTAGCTCACCTCCAGACCTTCAAATGCTGCATGACCTTCTGCCCTCCTTCAACTTCCGCGTAGCTTACCATTATCCAATCGACTGCTTGGAATAGACAATTCTTCAGGCTTCATATGCAGATCGATATTGTCGTCTGCATGCAGCACAAGAGGCCTTCTTACTTTCCTTCCGACCTAGACGTGGCATAAGATTTCACAGCTTATCGTCGCCTTGATTGCTGGCCTGCTTGTCCATCACCTTCCCGTCGCTTGGCTTCTCCCCATGTGGTGAAGTCGACGCTGGTACCTGTGACCTGTCTGACGTCAAGTCCCTGCCGTGAGGGCATTTCCTTCAAAGGGCCAACGTCGTAATGTATTCGGACTTTCCGTCCTTCATTCGGCCTTTCAATTGTTTTGCCCATAGATACATTATTATTATTGTGTTTGAATGAGTACTCTGTCGTAGGACATTATTTTTCGTAGGACGTTTCAAAAATTTTCCCTTCACCCAATGTCGATCCGTCAGCTCAATGCGGACCAGACAGGGAAGAGCAATTTCTTATTTCTTCCTTTGGAACTGGATTGCTTACCCTTAATGATTCTTAAAATAGCCCTTGCTCTGATCACGATATGCTGTCCATTAGCAAAAATATCCTCCTGATCCTAGTTGATTCTGCGACGCCAATGTTTATTTCTTCTGTAACACCTGACGTCGTATATTTGAGCCGTAAAACTTTTTCACCTTCCTCTTTCCAGAGGAGGATATTGAATGATTGCGTTTCTCCTCATCTTGCCTCTTCCTTTTTTCATGTTCTGTGAGATTCGGTGACTAGTTAGATATTGAATTCAGGATTTGTTAATATGTTTGGAACGGACAGACAGGCATCCGCCTCAGGCTGATTGTCATCTCTCGCCCGCATATAACCTCCTCATACAGAACCTATCATGCCTTTTTGTTTCTTATTTCATCCTTGTTCAATGCGAGGGCGTTGTATGGAATGGAGGTTTCTTCCGACCCCGATGGCGTTTTTGTCGTCAATTGGCCAAGTCGCCGGCCTCCTACCAGGTAGACTCAACCTCTCTCTTTCCAGGGTGCCCTGACAACCATGTCCTTATTTCGCGACGACGCGATCAGGAAATCTCTCTCAATGAGTCGTGATCTTCACATGCGGTCACTCCCAGCCATGCAAATCCAAGTTCCATCTCATCTTCATCTCACCTCTTCCCTTCGCGTTCTCGGCTCACACTTGCAGAATGTCGCCTCCCCCCCCTCCTGCTGTCATCACCGTTTCTCCGCATGAAATATCATCATTCTTGTTTCAACACGTCGACGAGGGTCCACGATGTGCTTCCACAAGGCTTAGAGTCATTGAAGTCGTCTGAAACTGGAATCTTGGTCTTATATAAGACGATGCTCCGAGCAGGTATCTCCATGTTCAGCCGCCTAACCAAACGTGATATCATAGTAACTTGCTATCCCACACTGACCTGGGACAGCTGAGATGCCTTTATCTTTTCATCCTGCGACAAGAAGCGCCCTGTCTTGCCTCTAGGGCCGGACAACTGCCTTGACGCGACGTACATATATCTATATTTCTTGAAATCGATGCTCTGAAGTTCCTTGTCCCCCGGTCGGGGCGGTCACGTGGACACCACCTAGAAGTTTAACTAGGTAGTTAACTATTGGGACGGATGGAGCCCTCGAGCTTTTTTGCCTGGAGATTGGAATATCTTCGGTTCAACATCCAACTCGGCTCTTTTATCGCCAGATAATCACAAGTTGGAGAGTTTTCATTTGTTGATGCGGCTCTAGCACAGGCTACAGAGGGCCGTGGTAACTAGCTAGCCATTCCAAGTTGCATTGCCTTCGAGAATTAAGTATATATCTCACTGCAGAAGCTGGATATCAGAGTCAAGCAGTTAAATAACCACGAGGTACGGAGTACCTAAACCACATTCTCGCCTGGCTAACTACTCAATACCTGGAATTATTAGCCAATTAGTACTCTCAAATAATTGATACTATAACTAACTAGTTAGTTACCCTAACTAGCAACTCAAAATCAAACAAAGTGCAATCAACTTGTGCTGAAAAGTGTCTTCTTCATCATTATGTTAATACTCGCGAAGTCGCCTGCTACTTTCTAAAAAGACGGTCTCCGAATATCCTACCTCTTTCTATTAGGCGGCCTCTGCCCTATTATCCATGTCATTTCATTGAAAACGCTGAGCAGAGGACTTCCACGATATCAGAGTAGCGAGCATTGATGCAATTCTTATCCTTCGGCGCTGCATTTCTGTCGTCAAACTTCTGGGTAGAAATCGGAAAAGATGACTGGCCATGGTCATTCTTCGTCTCTTTCTGTCGGAAATATGGGAACTTCGATGTGGAATTCCCGGCTGCCGTTTGAGCTTCCAGAGGAGATTTGCTCCTATCTTGGTACGCATGATCTTCATTCTCTCAAGTCAACATGCAATGCATTCTCTGGGTTGCATATATTCTGGAAAGAAGAATTGATCAACACTTGAAGGTCTTTATCAGTGACCCAGTGGAATTTCGATCGCAACTAGTTAGGGAAATGGGACGCCTTCGTCTGGGGAGCCTTTGCTGTTAACTACTTTCTCAATGCACAACAGTGGGCGTCACAAATAGGCGTTCATATAAGTTCTGAGGACAACTACGATGGCTTCTTGAGGTATATCCGATCCACAGAGAAATACTACCCTTGTTTTTATATATTTTTTTTATTAAATTTTTTAAATTAGATCTTGTCGTCCATACTTACATGTGAAGCTCCCTGCCCCTATATGCTAATCTTGCTGAAAACCTTTACTAACTTGTATGCCATTGAGTTTACGTTAGCAGTCTAAATTGTTCAAACGTCGCAGCAACGGTAATCCAGAGATTTTGAACTTTATAGTCGTCGATGATATACCAGTTTGCGATTTACTTCATGACTCATATACCACGGCATGTCTTAACATTATAACCTGGGATAAATCATAGATACCTTTGGTAAGCTTCTTGCTACATACGAACGCCTAGGCTTGTCTTTCGGAAATGTTTTGTGGCCACATAAACCTAGCGGATTCCATATTGTCCCTCAACGCCATATGGAGACGTCGACGGCTCGAATTATCAGCGGCGATTCCCTAATTGTTAAGCTGAGTGAAAGACACCCGGAAAAACCGAAACGCCCGGATGAACTGATTGAATACTGTCAATAACGTGTCTCAGCAAACGAAGCACAGGCAGAATATGCAATGCGCATGCGGCATACGTACTTGCCGAGTTCTTCGGTGCTACGCTATATGTATATATGTGCGGATAGTTCGTGGTCCGACGCTGCACTGGGGTGGCTACATGAAATCGAATTAGCAGAGCTGTATGAGATCAAGCTGGATATGCGATCACCAGCGGAGAATGCTGCTCTCATAGCCTCTCTTCGACCCAAAAAGCACCGGTTGGACCGTGCGAAGACTTTCGTCACCATGGAATGGGAGAAACCAGGTACATGGAATCACGCTGACCACCTAATTCCCGAATTGTATAAAAGATGGAAGCAACCTCACCGGATTGAAGAGACCAACAGCTAGATATCTCCCAGGAGTACATACGATCATGATGAAATTCCGCACATATTTTGGTGATATATGTGATTTTGAATTCAAGTGATAGCTACGTCTTAGAAATCTCATTGTTAAGGCCGGTAAGGAAAGCTTTCTAATTAACGAGTATGTTATATCAGATTGAACCGAGATAGTGCTTTAATAGTGAAATTCGTACTCCAGATTAAGAACAAAACTTCTAGTTTACTACGTAGATAGCTTAAGTCTGTTGTCTAAGAAACCAACCGGTATGTAAGATAATAATTTTACATACAAACCAGGTTATTAGTGCTATGTCTAGGTCATTGATCAGTTTACGCTGTTCCTGGCGGCGGCAGCAGCGGATGCATTGAAAGTCACTAACTGGTTGGATCTGCACATTCGTAATCGTATGCTGGATCCGCTATATCGAGGCCTTCATCTTCTAATGCCGGCCTGCTATGCTTGCTGACCTGCCGGTTATCCTAGAAAGCCTGCATTAGTTGTGCATCTTCCTGGTATTTTAGAAGTGGTCTTGTCTTTCTCCCGCGGTTTCCGAATGAAGCTCTAAGGAGAGTCAGGAGAGGAGAAAGCCCAGTTTTTCAGGTTCACTGGCATGTTTTCCGAAGGTGAGGGACAACTCCTATGCGCTTATCCAAAAATATTGAATGATAAGGCCCCTTCATCCAGAGGAAGATATGAGTAGTCAGATGGGCGGAGAGATTGATTGTGTTTGAGTAAGAATAGGGGTTCAACCAACAAGTTGATTTCATTGGTGTATTTTAGGATTCGAGGACTGTCAGCCAATAACAATGCAAGCTGCTCATATTTAACCTAACTAGTTGATCAAGTTAGGTTCACTAGTCGCAACTCTGTTGATTTGCTTGGACTGCCAATATCAACAACACCGTCTACTTGAAAATCTTGCATTATTATATTGAGAGACGAAGTGACACACAAAGTACGGAGTATATGCCTCGGGTTAGGCGCATAATTCCATATATACATGAGTGATGCCGTTACCTGATTGTTCAGGAGGCTTGCCAACCCGTGTTGCAAGGCCCCACGGTTTATTCTACTTGAAGCATGCTAGTTATAGGGCGTTCTGTGGGAATTAACAATGTCTACCAGGCTTAAATGAGGCACTAAATGGGGTACATATCATCTACACGGCTTTCTAGCTCTCTCCTTTGCTTTGAAGCTTGTTTTGAAAACATGAAACGGCGATGGAGTCCATTCTACCTTCCTCATCTTCAACCAAGGAAGGAAAGACTCCTTGTTTCTATCCTCAGCCTTTTGATACCCAGATTTGCCGTCATGATGCCCTTGACACCCTGTGTGACATATTACCGGAGAGCTCAGAAAGCTACCCACGGAGGTCATCTTGAACAATTTATGAAGTGCTCGGCCTGATACTCGTCTATTATCGTGGATCCCTATTCTCGAGGGCTTTCTGTCGACATCCCTCCCTCGACCAACTTCCTCCTCTCTTCGCAGCTATCCGGCCATGCCATCAAATATGGAGATTCTTTTACTATGCATGCCATGGAAAACCATAGCTCTACTCTATTTACTTCTCTCATGCTCCCAGGCTGCTTCGCAGGTAGTTGACAACGATGGGCAGCAGCAAAACCAATGGTCACGGCTGAGAACCGCGCGTATCGCCGGCAAAAGGGTGCCACCACTCTACACGGGAGATTTTGGAGATTGTATGGCCAATTCAATGGTGAAATTAACTCAATTTCATGCTGCTTACTACCATGATGATCTGATGGTGGGTTTTCACTTGGACGGCCATACGTCTCTTAGAAATGAATCCATTATGGGTATGACTTGTTCCTATAATTATATTAACCTACAAATATTTGGAGCATGGCTTCTAATTTGTCCTCCAGTATACATTGGGTTTTTTGCATATGGGAAAAGAAGATTCGATCTGATATTTGATCCCTGTGAAGCAAATATTCGGAAGTAAGCATATAACTATTCCCTTCTGAACCCATCGCACATTTACTTATCATGAATACGGGTTAAATAGTCTCTGTCCCATGGATGCTTCGCGTCATATAGGAGATGGTGGCCTGTTGCAAGTTGCTCCTACCGACATTTCAGAAATCTCACAGACGACCTTACGATTACCTGACTTGGAGGGCCGAGCAGTAATACGGATTTTATCCAACTCCACACGATCTCAAATAGCCTGCTACGCTTCAACAGTGACAAACGGCGTTACAATGTCACATCCACAAGCCGTGGGATCTCTCCTGGCTCTGGTAATATTTATCACATTCATCCTCAGCCTTGCAACCATTATCTATGGCGAAGACATCATGACTATGCAACTCCATTATTCCCATTCTTCGTCTTTACTCTTGGCTTTTACTGTTCTGCACCACATTTATTTCACTGGTGCTATTTCTGCAAATTGGCCTCGAGTGTTGGTCGAATTTTGGTCGAATTTTGCACCGTTTGCCGGGATGATTTACTCCAAGTCGATGCAGAGCTCAATAGATAAATTGGTTGGTGCAGATAAAGGAGATATTCGTATTCTTGGAGCAAATCCTGTTGGAAACGTTTCCCCTCGCCTCGGCGGTTACAATGTTACAAACATATACAACACATCACCATCCAATAGGACCTTTGGACCCTTCAGAACTGGCTTAGGGGCCCCCATGGATGAACAGGGTTATCATGCTTCTGCCTCCTCAGTTTCCTTGCCATCGTCGTTCCAATGGCAAGGCCAGCTTGTCAACGATGGGTTTCCAATGCCAGGAAACTATTCTGGCTTCGCTGGGACCCTCTCCATGCAGAAAATTTCAGCTGTGAATGCTTTCACTACTGGACTACTCTGGGTCCTATTGCTAATCGCTGCTCTGACCGCAGTGATACCCGTGGTCAAAGTGGTAATAGAGTCACTTATCCATTGGAAGCTCATTAAAGGAAGACAGGCGCAAAACTTAGCATATTTTCGAATACATTGGCCAGAGTTTGTCCTGGCTATGCTACTCCGTTCCTTGTTTATCGGATTTGGGATGCTGAGTTTCCTTGCACTCTTCCAATTCGGCTTTGGGGGCGCAGCCTCAGTTAAAGCATTGGCAGCGATTACATTCCTTGTACTCATTCTTGGATCAATCTCAATTACGGCGTATGCTATATCTTATCGCAACGCTCATTTCACGTCCGTACCAGAGATAATGCCACTCATTTTCGAAAGGAGGAGCTTGTTAAACATCATCCCCTGGTTTGCACTTAAAACAAAGGGCAGTACGGTATCAAAAGAGTCCTCTACAGCAGTTCCACAAAACTATCCGTGGTGGAAGTCCTGTGTCCATGATACTGGTTCAAGTGAATCTAAATTTCTATTGCGATTTGGCTGGTTACTGGCTCGCTTCAAGGACGATAGATGGCACTTTTGTGTGATATGGTTGATGCATGAGTTCCTTCGTGCATGCTTCCTCGGAGGAGCAGTCGCAAATCCGATATCTCAGACCGTTGGGTTGTTAATTCTCGAGATTACCTTTATGATTTGCGTTATCACCATGAGTCCCTTCGAGGCTAAACGACTGAGCATTGTTCTATACACGCTATCGTTTAGCAACATCTCATCGGCCCTGCTGTCCATCCCATTATTGGCTCAACATAACCTGAACAGAATGGCTGCTTTTGCTATTGGGATGGCGATAGCCATCATTCATAGCATTCTTGTTCTCTTCCTAGTGATTTCAATGCTAAGCGGCATCATAACTAGTTATATTTCTCTCACCAGAAATCGAAGAATCCCAGCCGATCAACTTGGCTCCCACCCAATACGAATGAGATACTTGGGGCATGTGAACAGAGGAGTCGGTTACCATCCAGGAGCACTCTATTCCACTCCTGGATCAATGTCACCAACTCCAAGACAAGCAAGTTTCAAAGTTCACTCTGTCCGGAGATGCCCAAAAATTATAGATGAGAGCCCAACACCCTATCATCGAAACCCATCCACACCCACCTCTTCGCTACGGGTGTCTCGTCGCACATATACACCTCCGTTTCCTCTGGATCCGTTTACGCCTCCTACTACTGCGGATTCTGCTGTCTTGGGCTTTAGAGACACCGACTCCACTGATCCATTCACCACCCCCTCGACTATGGATTTGGGCGCTTCAGGCCTTCAAAGAGCAAACTCCTTTGGACAAAATAGTATAGTTTCTGAGCCCGGCCAAGGTAGACTCTGCAGAATTACATCCTTGGAAACAGTTCTTTCTCGATCAACAAGCAGGCCGGAACACAGCCAAGGTGACAGCTTGTGCCTCACTGATACCTTTGAGACTGCGAGGTCTGATCTGGAACCTCTTACGGAGTTCATAACTCCTCTAGAGGACAGAGAAGCGGAGGGCGCATCTTATTCTAAGCTTTAGATTCTTATTTAACCAGACTAGGGCAAAACCACTCACTTCTGTGTGGTTATCATTATTAATAAGGCCCCTACTCATAGAAATACATGATAATATTTTTGAACTCCAATCAAATGCTGGCTTAACTGCACACCAGACAATAGCCACTGTTACTTGACCCCATTTGCATTCGTAAATCATATTGTCAAAAAGATATATCCAATACTTAGGTGTATATATATAAGCAGGCTTGCCAAAATAATGTAAGAATATATATGAGGCTGGATGATTAGGCATCCAAGCCTAGTTTTTCAAGTAGCTGGTCCAATTTGTTCAAGAGAAGCTCATAATCAATAGCGTCTCTAGAGAATTCATCTCCAGCTTCCCGGCCATCTAAAGTCCGAATGACACCGCTTGCATGACTTTGTTCACTCTTTCCATTGGTCTTCGGAGGTCCTGCATTGACGATGTTGTGAGTGTCCCCTTGCTGTTCCCTAGCAGAGTCAACATCACTAGGCTTTCTGTTAAACGACGAAGGTGGAGGCGACAAAGGGGTGGGCGATATGGCATTGCCGTTGCTAGTTGTTTCAGGGGAAGAGTTTGAAGATGTGTTGGTGTTTCCCGCCGGGTCGCCTTCGTTTGGATTGTCCTCGGAGTTCAAGATATCTATACCAGAATCCTCGAAACGTAGTCTAAACCGTTCGGAGAGATAGTAGCGGATGTCATCTACCAACTCGATGGAATCGGTTTCTTGTCGTTTTTGGATACGCTCGGCTGATTCCTTCACTAGCTGTGCGAACTCAGGGTTGTTGATGTGTGCCTCTAGCCTATAAGCGAAGTATCGGGCGGCGAACTCCTCAAGTCGTTGGATGCGCATCAGCCAAGCTGCACGGAGGATTTCATAGACATCGATTATTTCGTCGCTTCCTTTTGCTCCTTTCCCTTCTTTCGTTGGTGATGATTCTTTTGTATCCGCTGATGGCTTTGAACTCAGAGATGTGATATTTCCGCTTCCCAATATGCTAATGAGGACGGCTGCCTTTGTTTTTAGCCGTTCGATCAGTAACAGATCCGCAGCGAACAGAACATCAACTGCAACTTCAAGAGGGAAGTCCGCTTTTTCCGTATATAAGAAAGTGAGAACTATATCCAACACGTCTGGTGAACAGTCGATTGGTATTATTTGCAAATAGTCCGTAACTTGAGCCTCACGGAAGCTGGAAGAAAACATGAGCGAGAAAAACTCCGAACGTAGAAGCATCGCTCGATGAGCTGGAAAAAGAACCGATTTCCTTTTTGGTTTCTTCATGGGGGTATCAAGGGATAGCCGTGAGAAGCCTCCAATGGGTATACCACTGCCGGCGCCCTCAAGACTCCCATTTTCACACTTTTTGGTTTCTTGCGACTCTTCATTTTCGCTGTCATCTTCGTCAGCTCGAAGGAGAACATCAGCGAAGATACTGTTATCCCGCGACCATTTAACCTCATTTGCTCTATCCGTGTCAATCACCACTTTGTGTTTGATGATATTTTCTCGAAACCATGCTTCCATCTGATTTCGACCCTTGCTGACTTCGTCTGATCTCCTTTGTCGGGTTAATCTCCTATCACCACTGTCCAGTATGGTATCAACTAGGCCGCGAAGTTCTAGGTGGTTGGCAATTCTGTCTATTCCTTCAAATACTTCTGCCTCTGAATAGAGACCAGCTCCTGGCCCAGATCTCAAATCTCGTGGAGCATCGCCCAGATACAAGTACCTGATCCCTGCGCTAAATGCTGGAGGTGGTATTGTACTTGGCAATTTCCATGAAGTCGCTTCCGGAGCGGCGGAAAGCTTCTTATGGAAATATGGTGATCGTGCAGACAATATGAACTTGTGGAGGTGAAAAGTCTCATCTCCTGCTGTGACTGCGATATCCGACGTTTGAGGATGGTCTCTGCTTAGCAACGACGTTATGTGGGATGCGAAAGGTTGGAGAGGGTCCGTTGATTTTGAATAATCGTATTCAAGGAGCAGGTTTCGTATCTTCGAGTTTAATGCATTGTAGAGACATCTACCAACAAAGGTCAAAGAGTTGTGAGTATAAAGTTGCTCCTTTCATGTCATCTTTCTGCTAGGGGGTAGAAATATCAGGAAAGAGAATAAGGGAATAGGCACACCTTTCGCCTTGAAAAGTGTCTCGTTCGCATAAAGCACCAGAATCAAGGAGAAGTTGTACAACTTCGTAGTGGCCACAAAGACTAGCCTTTTCCAAGGAAGAAAGAAACAAAGTAATTGTCACTCTTTCAGTTCTCATTATAAAAGCAAATCATATTTGACGTGACCAGGGAGCAAATGGGAAGGAATTTATTCCACTCTCCAGCCTAGCTGAAAACATTGACAAGGAAGATACGCTGCCGGTTGTCGAGGACCCCCGACAGGCTGGAAGGATGAAGGGAGGAGCTTCACTCACAAGTATCAAGGGAGTGCAGTCAAATAAATCTCTACCGTTAATGTTCACTCCCTCAGTTATCTTCTCCTGACATGCCTTAAGATCGCCTCTTCGACATGCTTCGCAGAGCTCTCGAAACGGTTCACTGAGGTCCAACGGGTTGTCTTCCTTGAGCTCTCCTGCACCGATCAACTTTCGCTCGTTGAACAGGCTGGTTTCCAACTGGTCCTTCCTAAAAACTTGTGACTCCGACATCGTTGCGCGCTTCACAAGCAGAACAAGAAAAGAGAGGGAGCCGTCTGCCCGCCGCTGCCTCTGGCTTCTGCTATAGACAAGATCTCGCCGTCGAAGCAATCTCCGTACACCGAAAAAGAAAGCTGAGGTCGAAGAGTGGCAGAAAGCTTATCGATAACGGGCGGCTCTAAGGTATCTCCGATCGACCAATAAGAGTAGATTACAACCCACACCGCTTTACCCGCAGCCCACTAGTCCTCTTCAGGCGCTAGTTTTGGTCTCCCGTGACCAACTCTATTACTCATTAACTGACTAATCATATTACTAAGCAATTATCGCCCTGGTTGCTGCGCAACGAGATCGCAACCAAAACATTTGAAAAAGGTGCGAGGAGAGAGAAAGATAACTTCTTCTTCTCCTATTGCACACCAACTGTCCAGCTTGCAGGCCGTCGCCATTCATCCAGGCTCCAGGCGCCGTTACTAACATAAACAGGTTGTTCTTTCGTTCATCTTTTACTCTCTATGTGTTGATACACCTCATCTCCTTGACTTTGATATCTATACCTCCAGGTTAATCATGGCTATCGCTCTGGCAGAAGCAGACAAATATGAGCTCCTTGAGAGAATAGGTAGGGGACAGCCTTAATGGTACCAATATGCATGGCTGTATGGGCTAATATTCCGTCTATAGGAAGTGGTTCTTTTGGTGTGATTCGGAAGGTTAGGAGAAAGGCAGATGGATTCGTATGTCACTCTCTTGCTGGCAAACTACAAGGGTTTGGTTATGCTAACAGTTTCTATAGATCCTCTGCCGAAAGGAGATTAATTATCTCAAGATGTCCCATAAGGAGCGTGAACAGCTCACCACTGAGTTCAACGTTCTGAGTTCACTCCGACACCCCAACATCGTGGCATACTACCATCGCGAACACCTCAAGGCGACCCAGGACCTATACCTATACATGGAATACTGCGGGGGAGGAGATCTTAGCCGTGTGATCAAGAACCATAAGCTGGCTGGTACCTTTGCTGAGGAGGAATACGTCTGGCGTGTGTTTTCCCAGCTGGCAACCGCTCTGTACCGTTGCCATTATGGAGTTGACCCCCCTGAAGCTGGTTCCAATGTTCTGGGGCCAACACCAAAATCGTCAGGGCTCAAAGGAAAACAGGCCCAGGTCATGATCCTTCACCGAGACCTCAAGCCAGAAAACAGTACGTTATTTGTGGAATATACAAACTCGATCTGATATACAGGGTATGTTTGCTAACTTCTCTCTAGTCTTTTTGGGAGAGGATAAATCCGTCAAGCTGGGCGACTTTGGCCTGTCCAAGCAAATGGGGTCTCATGACTTTGCTTCGACGTACGTGGGAACACCGTTTTACATGTCTCCCGAGATCTCCGCAGGCGAGAGATACACCTTATACTCAGACATCTGGTCCGTTGGGTGCATTATGTACGAACTATGCAAGAAAGAGCCACCATTCAATGCCCGTACGCATGTTCAGCTAGTTCAGAAAATCCGTGATGGGAAATTTGCCCCTCTGCCAGACGTCTATTCCAGCGAGTTGAGAAGCGTCATTGCCAGCTGTCTGAGGGTTAACCCTGACCACCGTCCAGATACAGCAGCCTTGCTCAAACTTCCCGTGATACGCCTAATGAGAAAGGAACAGGAGGTAGTTGAGATAAGCAAATCTCTCACAAGCAAGGAGGAGGCTGCTGCACAGAAGCTGAAGGACTTAGAATTACGTTACGCAAAAATGGAGAAGGAAAAGGCAGCCATGAAAGCAGCTATTGAAAGCTCTGTCCGTCGAGAGTGGGAGGTCAAGGCGAGACTGGAGATCGACCGTCAAGTGCAGATGGAACTTGAGAAGCTTCGTAGGACTTTTGAAGTGGAGGTTGAGCAACGAGTTGCTTCTGAAATGCAAAAGTACAAGGAAGAAATGGCACAGAAGCATAACGTGGATCTCTCCCAACTCGACTCAGCTCATCATTCTTCCATGGGATCAAGCGATGATACTGATTTCCCTTCGTCCACCGATTTGAGCGAGCTGTCGCTTGACCCCCCTACCCCTGAACAGAAGAATGCAGGGAAGAAAGGCAACCGTACTCCATTTAGCCGTTCTAAAACCACGGTTGAATCCCCAATGGATGTCCAGATGGCAGAGCCATCGCCGGTTTGCATTGCCTCCTTGTCATTATCCCCGCGCCGGACCGCAGGGACATCAGCGAAGAATCTTTTCGCAGATGGAGGACGTACAAAGCCTAGGTGGGATGATGCCATTGCTATGTACTCCGATGATGAGGACGATATCCCTGACCTTCCGTCGCCAACCCGCGCGAAGATTCAGGCTGATCCCAGCAAGCTAGCACATCGCCCTTTGATGCGCCAAAACACCACTGCCATGATGCAGAAGCTCACTACTCAACCGGATCTTTTCCCGGTTACCAAGACAACAGCAGTTCGACCTGCTCAAACTGCCAACTCGGCTGCACCCCAATCTACTGATGGCCGCCATTCTTCGGCTGATACTAGGAATAAATCACCTCAGCGCCGCATTTCTAAAATTCCTTCCTACAACAACCTTGCTCTTGAAGGCTCCCCGTCGCGAAAGACAGCCATGATGCCTCCACCAGCAAAAGCAGGCACTAACCCTGGCGGAGAAGAGATGTTCAAGGCCATAATGCAACGCAACATGGGCGGAAGATCTCTCGTTGAGCTAGCCCAAGCCCGTGCTGGTGGTCGCTCCCTTGACGAGCTCAAGCGCCCTGGGGATAGCAAAATCCCAGCTACTACTGCATCTGCACCTGTAGCTGCAACCACCACCGTCGCCCAGCTTGATCCTCCAGCAACCTGGGACCCAGAGAGAGACGAAATGCCCAGCCCCTTTTTGGTTAGAAACAAGAAAGTTATCCGCAACTTCCGATGAGTCTCTGGCATGAAAGAGAAAAACCAAAAAAAGAATTAAAAAAGACAACAACATGAACTAAACGAATGCATGTTTTCTTTCACGTCAGGAATAGACTCGTTATAGGAGACCCAGAGAGGTTTGTTTGATCATGGGGACAAGGCAAGGCAAGGTGATAATACCCCTTTTCCCTTTTCTTTTCTTTTCTTTTGCTTCGGGTTCTGAGATATCGTGCTCGCCATGGAGCGATGTCATACATATCACCGGAGACACCCCTCCGCTCCCTCCCCTTCCTTTACCCATTTCATTTATTGATATCATTGTCGGCCATATGTCGTATTGTGCCATTCCTTACTAAAGTTTCCTTTGTTTTTTCCTTTGTTGTTGATATCCTATATTTCGGCCTTGGGTTGGAGTAGCATCTGCATGGCGTTTTCTTGGACTAGTGGGAGTTTTGTATTAGTTTCATAGTTCCTATGCCTGTTTACTTTGATTTGAATAATCATCGCTTGCAATAGAACAGTGTATTTATGTTATATCGCTTGTTCAAATCTGGCGTTCAGATGTCGGTTGCTGCAGGTAGCTGTCGCTCCATGTCACTTGAACGGGGTTTAAGCCGAGGCTCATCCGCAACATGGTTTTTCCCTCGTATTTCGACGGCAACCTACCTAACTACTACTACCACGTTCGTCATATAAATCACAACATAGAGGGACAAGGACACAGACTTGCGCTTGACATCAAGACAGCCTTGATAAACTCATACATCAAGACACCATCATGGTAAGCGTATGGCAATATCCCCAGGCATATTGCTTCAAACTAACCATTGCTTCGTACCTAGGCCTCCACACCAGCAACTGTCGGGCTTACCCAGCCAAGTATAATCAAATACCTCTACGCCTCTGCTGTCCTCCTCCATGCTGCAGACACGTATATCTTCTACACCGGCTCCACGATCCTTTTCCCGAACCGCGTGCCGTTCCTCGAAAGCGCAATGGCACGATACTTCTGCCGAAACAGCGGCAACCTCGTTCTTCCCTTTGCGCTGAATGCATGGTTCCTGCGAGAGTACCATATCCGTAAAACACATGTTGGGCGCGTTGTTGGGTCTTGCTTCTTGTTGTATCACATAGCCACCCTAGGGCTTATTAGCTGGAGTTCCTTCTTCTCCGGCGGTGCCGAGTATGAGTTGGCTAATGTCTGGGGAATTCTGGGCCTGCATGCTGGCTGGGCAGGTGTTGCGGCGTGGGGATTGCTGTTTGCGTGATTGATAGTTCTCCGGGCATACTTTTTGAATTGGCGAGGTTAACTTTTGTGTAGATGTTAAGGGATGATCTGAAGAATAGTTTGACTTACATGTATTCCCAAGCAGAAGTGCGTCAGGGTGCGATTCCTCTTCATATATTTGGGTTTCCCCTCTTAGATAAAAAAAAATTCAAGAGCCCCTTCAATTGCCTTCATCCTCGACTTCTTCAATTTGGACGGACTTGAGCTCACGGTTGAACCGCTCCTCCTCTTCTTCGAGAGAAGACGCCGCCGCCTTTGCGCTTGAAGTATCTGTCAACTGCCCAGCATTAGGGCCACTACCACTGACCACATACCCAGCCTTCTCCAGCTTATCCATCTCTTCAGGTTCAACGAGTTGACCTTCGCCTTTAACAGCAGCCTGTTTCATCCTTACTGTTGTCGGCACAAACTTGTTGATAGCTTCTTTCTGTAGATTCCTGAGGACGGGCGCAGATTCGTAGACTGCCTTTGCTTCTGGTACCGGGGGTTTAGGAGGTAGCTGATGCACACTTCTCTCACCACCAGCTGCCACACCTTCACCTTCTTCGGTATTGTTGGGTCCTCCTCGTCGTCGTTGGTGGTGTTGACGCGGGATCGGGGGAGGCGTGTCTCTGGGCATAGGTATCCTTCGAACGCTCTCGTCTGTCTCGCTGCCACTGCTTTCCTGCTGTCTCCAGTTGCGTCCTTCACGCTGCCCATCCCTTCTCCGCTTCCCTAGCACATTATGACCTTGGTCTCCGTCCCTGTCCCTGTCTCGACGCGGTCCGCCATCTCCGCGCCCAAAGACCGGTGCCTTATCTCCAAGAGCTTCCCTCGCCTTGTTAACAGCTCGCAAATCTCTCTCAAGGGCTTCAAGGATCTCCTTTTGCTGTGGTTTGAGCTGTTTCCCAGCCTCCTCAACTGCCTTGAGGTCGTCTATTTGTCGTTGGATGCGGTATGGGTTTCGCCGTGCTAGCTTTTCATTGCGTCTGTTCAGCGCCTCCGCCTTGCCCTTTTTGAGTGCCTTTTGCTTCTCAAGCTTCCGTTGAGCCTGCGCGGGATTGACAGTGCGTTCCTTGTCTTTGGCCATGGTGCAGTTTGTCGGCTAGGTGGCGGCCGAGTTAGTTGTGTTGGTGTACTCCGTAGATAATGAGTTGTCGCATTTGGTTGAAATACTTTTTGGACGTTGCTTTTGCTTTTTGGCGACTTCAGCGTTTGGCGGCTTCAACTAGGTTGACTACACGCCAACTACAACATTCAGCGAATGGGCGACAACGGCCCATCGGAGTCCTCACCGTCCCGTTCTATGTGGATGGGCTGGTGTGTTATACGCTGAGATGACTAGAGCCAGCATATATACCCTACCTCAGCTGGACTTGGTGGACAAGCGACGCGGATGGGCGTGGTGAATGCAACCAACAAATAGGCATCGCGATTAGCTGTATCCAGGAGTACCCAAAGGTATATAGGTATACCTATTTTGACCCGGTTTCGGTTGCTTCAGTCCCTGAATTGGACAGATAGACCCAGCCATGGCTTCTTAACCGTTCGCGAGCCAGCACCGAGAGCTTGCTCTTGACAAAATGAACATCGGCTCCCTACCGCAAGTTGCTGCTATCAGTTGAGAATCTTTCAAGCTGATATCATTGACAGGCCACGATGATGACAGCCATAATAAAAGGGAACACGATTTGTCAAATACGGATTCTCTGGAAGCAGAGCCAGTGTGGTGATACCAGTACCTTGCATTAAAGACTCTTGCGGGAGACGGTGTATTCGTATTCAACTACACGTTGGATGACATGGATGGACATGACGACTTACAATACCAGCTTATACATGAATGCAGAGATGGGAATAAACTCGCATTTGACAGACCACGAGTTCTAACGAGGTCTATAAGTCTACAACACGCAGCGGTGTCTCAGAGTCAAGGTCCTCGGAACATGGCGTCTGGCAAGCTTATATGACCCCTTATTCACAGAGGAAGTAGACTTCTGCTACTATATAGACGTTCCTATCTGCGACATGGGATCTCGCGGCCCAGTACCTTGATTATTTCGATCAACGCGTTCCCTTTTTCCTATTCCTGGATACCTGAACACATTCTTCACATGTTACCTCCAGGCCAGCATACTTCTCCAGTCAATCGCACAAGCCCATGCAGTCGAAGCCTTGCAGATGATGTTGTACCATCCAGCCCTCCCCAATGCAACATCCACATGGAAGGACAAGATCTTCATCTTGGGGTCGGCCCCTCTGGCCTTACCCGCGGTGCTATTAATCATATGAGCTGCCGACAGCGCCGTTCTGGATATCATATATCGGTTTTGACGACGCTGGTCAGAAGTGCTAGATAGCGATATTCTCGTTTAGGACCGACTGCCGAAGAGATGCGTGCTCGGCATCAGTATCCTGGTAAACTTGGAGGACGAGGATCCAACCAGTGCGACGCTCTCCGCTCGATACCGGGTCTTGTAGGCGACTCTCGAACTGTGAGATGAGATCAGCCACAAAACGTCTGGTAGAGAAAGGTAACCATGGCCTACAAGGGAAAGTTGTACGTTTAACCACCTGCGGATTGATCAACTAACTAGTTAGCTGTTTGGTTTTTCGTCCTCATCAGCGTCAAGCAGGAGAGATCAGCTATACGAGAATCCTATTCGCGGCAGGCCGCCGATGCAGGAGACCTGCAGCTCACAACGTCTGCGAGGCACATTAAACACCAGCGGGAAGCCCGCCGGGGCTAGGATTGGACGGCTATAACGTCGTCGTACATATCGACTGCCGCCTGCCATTGGGCCTGCGTCTCTCGAGAGAATACGCTTGAACGTCTGGGGGTAACTCGAAGGGCGAGAGAAAAGCAACGGGAATCAGGCGTCTATACGTTTATTTCATGCGCAGAGACACCGCCGTTGCCTCACCTTGGGCAGCCGTACGGGGCATATATCTGACCTCTCCAGCTGTTGGCCATTCTGCGGCTCTTCAATAGCCTGTTTTCTAGTTGGGTTGGTTATAGACAGGTATCAAAATCGAGATATCAAAGTAACTATCAAACTGGCGGCCCGCAACTAGACAACTATTTGAACACAGGTCATGCAGCCAGTTTAGCCGCCCACACACACCCCCGTCCGTAGACACAGGCAGATAACTATGCCATATAAATAGTTTTAACAAACAACCAGCCTCTCCAGCCCGCCCGGCCGTCCGCGTTGCAGCCTGTGGTCGCATCCTCGGCCGCTCTCCCTTGCCCCCTAAAGAGTAGCAGCAGCAGCAGCAGCAGCAGAAGACTTGACTGCCAGCTTGTTTCTTTTTTCCTCCTCGTTTTCTCCTTTCTTTTTCTGCTTCTACTTTGCGTCCTTGAGATCATCTGTGGTGGTGGAAGACGAAGCGCCCGCTCGCTGGGGGATTTTTCTCTCTTCCTCGCTCTGCGTCTCTCTCTTCTCCCTGTGCCTCTTGCGATCCAGTCAGTGGTTGAGTGTTATTCCATAACCCGCCAGCTAGTTAGTGTCCGCCGGCCGTGTTTGTATCTTCGCCGCCTCTGCCTCTTTGCGTCCTCCCCCCCCGTCGCCCTCTCCTCCGCCTCGAGCCCAGATATCTCAAGAGACGGCGAGACCAGCGGATAAACAGCGTGAAAGCAACTCTCGTGAAGCCGAAAAACCCGACTCCTATCGCCGGCTGCAGTCGAGAGTCGACGGTGCTGTCCGCGGCGGCCGCTTATCCCTCACAACGCTTCTCGCCCTTCCTTCTTCCCATCCACCATGAACGGCGCCCTCTGCCACATATCAGTCTTGATCCAGCTCCCTGACGGCGTCTCTATGTTTTGAGGAGCATGTCTCTGATATACCAGGCCCATCCCCAATGTCCGTATCAACGTCTATTCCCGATGCCCGTCTTGGCCTCACGTCGTCTGAGTGGCAGATGGTTGTCCACCAGCAGCAGATCGCATTGCAAGGGAGCCATAATGGCAGCATCGCAAGGGGGAGGGGGATGGCGAGGAATAGCAACGCCAGCTCGAGGGCTGCCAGCGCCGCCAGCACGCAGGGGAGACTGCTCCTGGATCCAGACAGCCTGCAGGCCCTCTACTACCAGCTCGACCACCTCATGAGGGACATCCAGCGGAGGATTGACTACGTATGTTCTCCTTTTGCACTATGGAATACTATCTATATGGCTGCATAGAATTTCTAGAGATAGGTGGCTAACGGGTATCAGTTGAACGAGCAATCTGAGATATCGATACAAAATACCTATGACCAGGCCGGCAACGTCGTTGCAGACGCCGATAAGGAAATCGCACGAGTCAGACAGATAATCCTCTCCATCGACGAACTAGAGACGGAATTTGACAAGATCCGGCGCATCAGAGATATAGTAAAGTCGTTTCGCTCGCGGGTTGAATCTCTCGATAATCGGCTGGACAGCGCTCAGCGAAGGAGACGCTGATAACTAGTTACCATCCGACCCTATGACTACGACCAAATTTTGAACGTCCAATCTACACCAGCAAACATACCACCACATCCTCACATCTCGGCCTACTTATTCCATTTTTT